CCCCTCCCCCCCCTCTTCCCTCTTTTCATCTCTGCATCAAATGGAGATTTAATCACCCACGCCGCCACCACCAGACCACTGGTATTCTTTCTGCCCAAACTTCCCAGCCCTTATACCTTTGATAGCAAGCTCAACTTTTCATATCTGCAGGTTTTCCGCCAGGTGTGCGAGCCCCAGTTTCCCCTAGTTTAGTTGCAAAAGCTATGTAGTTGACACCTGTTTGTTGGCACAGCTCCCATTTTCTCCATGGCAAGCTTAGCTGCATTCCTGCAATTTCTTGCACCTCCGCATCCGCCCTGTTCAGCATGAGTGTCAGCTCCTCAGGAGAAATGAATCGCTGCCAGTCATGTGTGCCCATTGGAACCCAACGGAGGACTCTTTCTGCAGCCACAATAGCCAACAAGTATGAGGCCAATGTGCGATTCATAGTAGAGACGAAAATCGCCCCGCCGGGCTTGCACAGAGCACCCAGAGAGGCAGAAAATGCCATCGGGTCGGCTACGTGCTCGATGACCTCAAGAGACGCGACTATATCGAAAGTTTTCCCCTCCTCAACGAGGCGCTCTGCGGTCGCACACCTGAACTCGATCATCGCTGTAACGGGGTCTCGGGCTGCATGAGCTGCCGCGACCACTGGGTTCTCCTGCGTAGCATCAATAGCAGTAACAGTTGCTCCAAGTCTTGCCAGAGACTCCGAGAGAAAACCGCCTCCGCAGCCTACATCCACCGCTGTCATACCCGCGAGCGGTTTCGGGCTGTTCTGGTCTTTCCCGTAGTACCGACAAATCGCAGAGCGGATAAACGACAGTCGAGCAGGGTTCATTCGCATCAGCTCCGCAAAAGGTCCCTTGCTGTCCCACCATTGATCCGCAAGTGCCGCAAACTTCCGGATCTCATCCTTATCAACCGAGCTCTGAGTGGACAGCCTTCGAAAGCGATTTCCCATACGCTGTGAAGGCAACACGCTGGTGGTACGGCGATCAGCATCCTTTCGCTCAGCAACGCTGATGATAGAGGATGATGCATCGCTGATGAGTTGAGAGTTGTCCGCCACTCCACGACACTGCCCGGGACCATATCGCTGTGTCCTCAAATTATGCCTTGAGGAGATTTGTTCACTCAATGCAACAGCTTGCTGCTGCAAACAAGCTTCTTCTGGCTCCACATGGAACGCGTAAAAACCCTTCGGATACGAACAATTCGGCTTCTTCAGCAGCCTACCCATCATGCCTTGACAACGGATTGCAAGGACAGAGACTCGCTTGGCTGCCATCTTGGGACGACGTTACAATGGAGGATGCGATCGCAATTGCGCTGGTCCCACACCACGGGACCGGCAACGCAAACAAATTAAAGCTGGAATTCCCAGAGGCTTTCAGTGGGTTCCAGTAGTGCCTGCTCCCGCTCTACTATCTCGCAAACAGCATCCCCCCTTCAGGTTTCGATAAAGAGCAGATCGCATTTACTGTTCCGCGAAGCAGCAAGGTTTTGTGGTAAGACAGCGTTTTCCCAATCCCTGCTGCTCCTCAGGTCTTGCAGAGATCTTCTTAGAAGATATAAGAATGAGGTGCGAATATCGAGACACAGCTTCGTCCTCAGCTCTTACGGAGACCATACAGAGATCAGGTGCAAATTGAGAAACCGCTTCGCCATCTGTAATACTCCAGACAAAAAGGAATATCATTTAAAGGCTTTGAGTGAGATACGCTAATGATGTGGTGAATCATAGCAAAGCAACGGTCTTCCCTCGAACACAATGCACTGAAATTGCTTTAAATAAATCCATGGTCGCTGTGCATTGTGTTTCGAGAAAGACAGTAGTAGGCAAGAAGCCCTCGTGGTTACGAGACGCGTTCACCAAACTTGTGCCCACAGCTTGATCTACAACATCCACAAACTTGTTTCCCTTCTTCAGAAAATATAAAGCAGATGGACGCAATCGACACGTCTCAAGACTATTATGCCCTACGGTGATGAAGTTGGCTATCTGAGATGATTGAATCTTTAATCTAATTGCAAAGATGCCTAATGATCCAAGGTGCAAAGACGATGGCACCAGAATAAGTTGGGTTGTCCCAGAGATTATGCCGATCCTTAGTATCGAACTGTTTGAGATCATCTGTATGAAAAAGATGGCTCTCCGAGGCGGTGCAAATGCGAGCTCAACAAGCAATTGCTCTCTGAGATGGTGCGAGCGAGCTTGACATGAGATTGCGCCTCATCATGTCAAACGTCAGCCATCAAACTGCCTCCTCCCGTAAAATCGCAACCATCGCAGCATTACACATGGACGACAAATAAAAAGAACAAGCTCAACAGTCCACGATCCTATCTATTGCAGTTTTACCTCACAGCAACCGAAAATAGCAAACTTACGTAATAGAAATTTGAATCCCGTAATAAAATAGCTCAACACTCCCGGAAACAGGAAAAACTCTCTACCTTTTTGCAACGTCACACAACAAGCGTGCGGGAATATAGCTCAATAATACAGCTCAATAGACCAGGAAAGAGGAAAAACTCTCAAACCGCTAGTACACGGCCCCAGCCTTGCAGTCCAAAACTTGTCGCCACAAGACACAGAGGCCGAAACGTCAAATGCTAGGCCTGCCATTCATAAATATTGGATCAGCAGTCGTTTTTTCGTTCCGCGCCTCCGGAATTCAAGGTGTCACGCCCGCGGCCCAGGTAGTCGTGTGCTGGTGCTTTAAACCACGAGTACATGGTCGCAGCCAACTTGAGAATCACGATTACGCTTCTCCCAAAATTTTGAGAGGCTCAGGGCAACCGGACCAAAATGGTGTGCGTTTCTTCTCCATTCACCAGCTCAATATAATAGAATCGCCATCTATATTCTAGTCATGGTTTCTTGTCAAGGCCCCCATCCCTAAAAAACAGGGACCTCCTCCTCTTTCCATCTCTCAGGTATGACCTGGTTCAGAAGAAACACACATTCACCCTTCGTCCACAACATGCACCACATGCACACCCTTGGCCAATTCAACTTCCCGACGCTACACGAGCTCTCAATCAGGCAGGGAAGATTGTCGCTGGTTCGGTTCTGGCAGCAAATTATGTGACCTTGCGATTCTGGGACGAGCGTTTACCGCTCATCAGTGTCATCATGGACGTGCAGCGCTTCTTTTCCTATGTAGGCTGGCGGAGTCGCAGAGAGACAATCGGATTTGAACTGATAACTTCCTAATTACAAAGCATCACAGAAATCGAGCTCCCGTCACGATGGAGAAGCTGCTGACAATTATTGCACACACGTGTCCTCTATCCCTGTCTACTTTTGATGCAGAATCCATCCTCCCCTCCACATACTAAATCCTGGAGGCTATACTACACACGTAAGCTCACTGCAAACTCTCATTTTCAGCATGCCTGCTTTAATCTCTGTGTTACCAGAGAATTAGTGCTATTAATAGCATTGCACACACGTGTCATCTATCCCTGTTTTTGTGCATTTATACCTGTTTAGTGTAAAGGATCCATCCTCCCCTCCTCCGTTTCCTCTGGATTCTAATCCCTGCAGGAGGCCACACTAACACACGCAATGACTCAGTGCAAACTCACATTTTCAGCATGCGCGCTTTAATCTCTGTGCTCCCACAGAATGCGAGTTATTGATAGCCCCCTATTCTATCCTATTCTGTTCTATTCTATGATTCTATCCTATTCTGTTCTATCCTACTCTAATATGCCGTATTCTATTCTATTCTATTCTACAAATATATGTGTGTGCAAACAGTGTCAGTGCTATTAATTGCCAACTATGTCATTCCCATCCACAAAGGTATCCCCTTTTTCCATTCGTCAGCTTCGCTGCCCGGCCAAGAAAAGAATGGAGCCGACTTGTCACCAGCTGAGACCTGAGTGTGCACGCCTCGATGGTGAGCGATTGTCCAGATCAACAGGAACCCTCGACACACTAAACCCTAAACCCTAAAGCTGGCTGACTCTGAATTTGTAAGGTTCCGTTAACTGGCTTGGCTTGTTATTTCCACGTGCTTCCGTTTCCAGGCTTATTATTTCGGGGTCGTTTCGTTAACTGGCCTGTTATTTCCCTGTGATTCCGTTAAATGGCTTGTTATTTTTCCGTGGTTTCGTTAACTGACTTGCTATTTTCATGTGGTTGCATTTATTGGATTGTAATGACCCGCCATAACACAGACTGAGAACACTGCTGATTTCTGGAGTTCTGTCGATGGAATGGATGCCTTGCTGAGATTCCCGCATTCTGCTGAGTTTTCTAAGTCTGTGTGTGTGCGTGCTTGTTGACCTGTGTGCCTGTCTGAGTGCTTGTCGGTATGAGTGTGTACGTGACCCGCAAGGGTACTTGCTCGTTTGGCAGGCCCGTAGGGCCGGTACTTACCTGTGGCCGTGGCATTTAGGGTTGCAGCAGGGAAAACACTCAAGTAGTGGAGCCAGGGGCCCGCGGTGTTTAGAGCAGCGGAAAAACACTCAAGTAGCAGGTAGGCCGGTACCGCACCCGGTATCAGTAGATGTGCCGGGTACTCGAGGCCGAGCCGAAGAAGACAAAGTTGGCATTTTTAGAGGCCCAGTAGCGGTAGGCTAGGTCTAGGCCGGTACCAGTCCATCCAGTCTGAGTCTAGAGCCTGTCCGGGCAATATCAGAGTCTGCAATGATGTTTCCCGCCGAAAGGGAGGAGGCCGCTCAGGAGGCAAGTACGCCGCTATATCAAGAGGCGGAGGGAAGAGCCCGGCCTCATTCTTCAGTGTGCAAGTTTGGCGACACGCTGCTGGAGCACTGGCTGGAGTAGCGCTGGGTACTACAGCGCTGCTGGGAGGAAGAAGCCGGGAGCTTCCACCTTGGCTATGGTGGAGCTCTACCAGTAGGAGGAGGAGGGAGAAGGGGACTACTGAGGAGAGTGGCGAGGTACCTACCTGGCTATGGTGGACACCATCTTCATCACCTTGTTAGGTGCTGCATCTGGAAGGCCCCCATTGGGGTAGTGCCGCACCAAGGAAGATCAGGGCAGAGACAGGCATGGCGGCCTAGTGAGCAGCGGCATAGCTGCTTTGCGTTGTCCTTTGCCCAGGGAGGCAGCGACATAGCTGCTTTGGGTTGTCCTTTGGACAGGAGGGTTGAGCCCTCAGTAGTCCATCATAGCCTCAGCCTACATGTCAGAGGAAGGAGAAGGGTGGCCATCGCTATGGTGGACCTCATGTTGTGCCTGCAGTAGAAGCAGGATTCTGACATTGATTCTGGTTCAGCCATTCAACATTATCATTGTCATTTCCTGTTTGAATAAAAGGGGATGAGATAAGGAGGAGGAGATTGGTTGGCGAAGAAGAAGAGCCTTATCTTTGGTCTATGCTGAAGTACATCATCTTCTTCTTCTTTCTTACTTCTTCTTCTTCTTCTTTCCCTCTCTCCTCTCAAGTTCATTCATTTCTTTTTGCAATTGGACGGCATTGTACTTTCTGATGAATGTATACTTCGAAATTGGCCAGGATGGTAACAGGATTGTTCTTTCCCTGTGGTGGTTCCTTTAACTGGCTCCGTTATTTCCATGTGGTTCCATTTACTGGCTCCGTTATTTTCCCTGTGGTTCCATTAACCGGCTCCGTTATATTTTCATTTGGGTTCCTTTAACTGGCTCTGTTATTTTCCCTGTGGTTCCTTTAACTGGCCCCGTTATTTTCATTTGGTTCTGTTACTTGGCTCCGTTATTTCCATACAGTTCGGTCAACAAACCAGCTCTGTCATTTCAATGCAGTTCTGTTAACCGGCTTGTCTCTGTTATTTTCGGACATGGGATTTGCAGCCGCCCTGTTCTACATCTACTATGCAGCTCTCAACCCCACCGTTAAGGGGGGGGGAGGGGGGGAGGGGGGGGAGGTTTCCGCTGTCAAGTTTGCTTCATGACAAGTATGGCATTCCGGAAGAAAGGTGAAACATCCACCATAACGGTCAGCATACTCATCTCCTCGCCCACATAATTTCACCCCCCCCCCAAAAAAATAAAATAAAACCTTGAGTATAATTTTCTTTTTCCTTCTTTTTTTTTGGGTGAAACCGTGAAAGACTGTTCTAAGTTTGTTTTGCAAAATTGAATCAAGAAGTATTTTTTTTATTTCCCCCCCCCAAAGATAAGCAGCAAACCCCCAAAATTGAATCAAAAAGTATTTTTTTGATTTTTTCCCCGCCAGCTTCTTTTGGGATTCTTTCCCCCATGCCTCGATGACGAATGTCTTCCGGAAGAGCTTTCCTTATTTAAAAAAAAAAAAAAAAAAAAAA